GTAGTTGAATCCTTGATTTGTCCCAGTGATTCATACTTCATTTTTGATTGTTGTCTGTTGAAGTGTATTGAATACTGTAACTGCAACAATACTAACACTGTTCAGGGCAAGGTATCACAGCATCTAGGAGACAGCTGTAGTTGAAGGGTTAGCTACTTTTTGGCATCCTGATTTGGTGACCAAAAGGTAACTGAATTCCTTATTTTGGTACCATGTTAGTGATAAGATTCTAACTTATGTCCAAAGCAAAGCTATTTTTGTTTGTGCATGTCTTCTTTCTAGGTATGACTGCCTGTGAAGCTATGTCAGTCTTTGGAACTTGTCCCCTTAAGAGTCTGTAAAAGCTGACTCGTGTGTTCATGAATGTCTGTTATGAGGTTGCAACTTCATGTCTGTTAAGGCACGAAAAAGAGGAGGAATTCCACTTTGTGCTCCCTGCTTGTCTTACTGAAGAAAACTAAAATCTTGTAAATACTGTGTCTGTCTGCGATTGTTACTAATGTTTTGGGGAGGAAAATGGGTGGTGATAGTGAGTGATTTTATTGTTATTTCAAAGATGAAAGCCAGTAAAAATTAATCTTGTATTGTAACACTGACTACATTTGTATTCCTAAAATTGAGCATCTCTATGAGATGGCTTGATATGTCCTTGGTATGTTGACAGCTTTGGCTGGAATGCTTTGGAGCTGTGCTGTGAACCTTAGCTTTGCGTTGGTGACTTTTTGTTATCAAGACTGAAGAGTTCTAACATTCTGAGAAATTCTAGTAGACTGTAAGTTGTCATTTACAGCTTGTCCCAACAGTAATATGTGTAAACTAGTTGCTTCTAAGGGTCATTGGTAGTCTTTCCAGTTAACCAGAGCGGTACTTGTGTGCTGCTTTGATTTGTTTCACAGGCTTTTTGGTAATCTTAGTATCTTGTTCCTGATTAACTAGCATTTCAGTAAGATCTCTTCTTAAAAATGGAATTTAAGTAGCATATCCCTTCCTGTTCTGAGAGAAAGTTTCATGTGAGCATGATGTCCCTTAGTGTGCTTACTTTTTGTTTCCTTCTATGTCTGGACAAAGAATCCTATTATCATTAGACCTTGTCAGGAGTAAAGCTCTTCCAATGTATCAAACTTTCAATCAGAATGTTCAGCTATTACATTTTTGGGGGAGTTGGTATGGTTCCCTTGTCAAGTTTTTGAGGTTTTTCTTCCTAAATACTTGTGTTTTTTTTAATCCTGCAGCTAGTATTCACAGGTGGCCAGGTAAAACTGCCACGCTTCTCACAGTTTTGCTGCAGTTTGGGGAGCTCTGATGGATGATGAGATTGCCGTGTCCAGGTATTTTGCTGCATCTCTCATTTTTTGAGGGCGGTGGATGTGGTTGTCGGTCGGTTATCTAACCTGGAGAGAAGACCCCCCTGGGCAACTGTGGGGAGATTCCTGTTTTAGAAAGTTATCTCTATATTTTTTAGTTTTGTAGTATAAGTAGATGAGAATTTGTTCTTTGAAGCTCATAAAAATGTGAGCTTGATAGATAGACTAATTTCAAGGCTGATAATGGTTGCTGTACAGTAGAGGTCTTGAACACTTTTTGAGGAGGAGCCTTGCAAGTATGAAATGTTCCCATAAGAAACTCTTCTGTTAGTAATTAGTTATTAAATTAATGCTTAGTTTGGTAGAACAGGAACTTGTTACTTTTAAAACTATACTTACATATTTTAAAAACTGTCAGGAAACATTTTGAACCAATGTTGATGCAATATATTAAAATACTTTAGATGTGTTGGAGTAGATGAAAACTTTACATCTGTGGCTGGAGCAAGTGGGAGGATTTGGTAAGAACTTAGATCCTGGACAAAAGAAAGAAGGGTGGATTCAGAACAGAGGAATTACTGCAGTAGTTAAGGAGTGGCCTTATTAACTCAAGTTAATCAACGTTATGTGGTAAATAGATGCAGATTGATTAACAGTTGTTAATTGCATTGCAGCTGATAAATTGCTGCAGTTGCATTTAGCATACTTGCCTCTTAAGACATCAGGCATCCTAAACTATATTAACCTCTTACATAAAATGTATCTCATTTATTGGGTAACTTGCCATAAAACCAGTAACTTCAGAGGGATATAATGGAAATCCTATAGTGTGAGTTAAAATAATGAATTATAAGAATTGATTTGTGACAGATAATTCTGGAGGAGAGTCATTTTTGGTCTCTTTAACCACTGTATTTGTGGAAGAGATGCAAACATTGACTTCTCATCTGGATTGCTTCATAAATTCAGTGTTTTAATTTATGCAAATACAAAGTTGCTCACATGTGAGATTGACTTTACACTGGGATTCTGATGCTGGGAATGTCTGAGTATAACCACCACCATTGTCTTCACTTAATTGCAGTACTGTCCTAGCATATGTAGAATTGTGGCTGACAGTTTTCAGTTTGCATCTTTGCAGGCATGGAAGTATTGCATTTGTATTTATTCCATGGCTCTCATCAGTGCTAAAATACATGTTTGTCAGGTATACTGAAATCTAAACACTGTTGTGTCTCATGCCTCCTCCCTTGCCTGTCCCTTCCAATCTAAAAAGCATATAATCAAGATTTCATGTATGCTCAGTAAGATTGACCTTGGGAAGAGATGATAATTACATAATTATCCTGTCTGGATAACTAATGATCAAACTGGGAGGTTGTCAGTCATCTAGAGCCTTGGCTGTGTTTCTCTAATCCCATTTTAGGCTATTTAGATTAAAAGTTTAATGTACTGGGAATGCTCTGCTGAGTTAATGAATGAAATATGTAGAAGCTTTGTAAAGTTGGTAGCTTGATAATCTAGTAGGCAATGTCTGAGAAACTGCACCTAAAAAATGAAATAATGAGGTGCTATAGGGTTTGGTTTACAAGAGTGCTTGAACGTTTTCTGCTTCTATCAGTGCTAATTAATCTGATATCTGATTCTGGTAGTCAGATATCTGTGAAAACCAGTCTCTGTGTTTGAGTGATTTGGGGGTTTGGTTTGTTTTGGGGTGGAGGCTTTTTGTGTTTGTTTTTTGTTTGGTTGGGTTTGTGTGGTTTGTTTTTTTTTTTTTTAAATTTTCCAATTGCTGTGTCAAAGGAAGCTGAATTGCTTATTGCTGTTAGGTAGGTAGCACACTTAATTTTCTTCTCATCTTGGGCACATGGAGGAAAGGTTGTTTGCAAAGTTTCAGAGAGTCAAGCTTTCTTCTTCAGTCAAAGCATTTTCATTGCCCCCTGTTCTATACATCATTTATTGGTTATAATTGTGGAAATGTGTTCCTTACTGTAGCTAAATGTAGGAGCAATGAAATGGTAATCTTTCCCACTTCAAACTTGCCTTTCAAAATTAAGGTGAAGTGGGTCAGCATCTGGCTGATACCAACAGTGCTGTGGAAGTTTGTGCAGATAATAAAAATTATGTTGTTTTACAAACAATTCATTTTTTTAGTTACAAATCTTTATTTTTCCAGTTACTTATCCAGATGCTATTACACTGGCTTATAAATTGATCCTTATTTTCTTTTGCTTCCTCCATTTATTCTAAATGAGAAATCTTGCCATGAATTTAATCTAGGGTGTATGCATTTGTTTCTTATTTTTACTATTTATAACTAAATAAACTGATCAGTTTAATAATCATGGTTGTGGTTCAGGAGTCAAGATAGTGTCAATTTGCTGACTGTCAGGGAGGCTACTCTTGACATCTTGTGAATATTTTTACTTATGGGAGTGTCTAAGAAGTCAAATTGATTAGCACTCTTAGAGGCTGTTGATGAGCTACCTTCAGATGCAAGCAGAAATGTTGTGTGAACAGCTGCAATATCTGGGGTGGTATGGTGGGTGTAATTACATGATGTAAATGGAATTGCTTATTTTGGGCACTATTTAAGATAGTACCTGTCTTCTATTATGCCTTGGTACAGAAAGGTGAAAAAAAAAAAGTGCATAAATTCTTCCCAGACTGAGATTTCTTCCAGGTTTTCTATGCAAATGCATCAGACCCAGAAGTATCAGAAAGTACTCTTTTTCATTTGGAAGAATACTTTTGGTAGAACTGTATGTGGAGCAGTGTGTCTCTTCAAGTGCCGCATGTTCTTGATATGCTTTCAACACCAACGCAATGCCATTTGCAACCTAGACCTTCCAATTTTGCATCAGGTTTCTCGGGATACCTTTTTTTACTTTTGTGTTTGTGCTAAGTGAACTATGGTCAGGAGAAGCTTTATTTTCTGTACACATAGCATGTAGAACTGCTGATTTCTGTACCAGCTCAAACGGTGGACAAAACAAGAGTTTGCCTTAGAAAGGCAAGGCAATATGCTTTAATAGTGATTGCTTCCTGCCTTGGTAACTTTTTAGTTACCAGCAGGTCAGTCTTAAGTGGAAGCTTATCACAAATTACTTTAACTTCTCTTCCATGAAGAATATATTTTTGCAGCCAAGAGGAATATAACAGATACACTTACGCTTTTAGGAGCTACGAGAACTGTTCTGTTTAGAAAGGAATGAACGGTCATTTATTCACACCGTGCTTTTCATCTGAGCTCTCAATGTGTCATCTCTTACTCTTGTCAGAAGAAAATGCTGATGAGTTATACAACTTTGTGTTGTATGAGTTATTTCTTAGTAAAAAGAGTAGTTACACTCTTTTAAACTAGACACTAAAAGTCTCAAATTATTATTTCAATGCAATTGTGTCGCTAAGGCAAGAGTTTGGCAAAAGGCAAGCACAGTTTTGCTTGCATGGAAATAGCTGTGAGATTTGCAGATACACACAGGATTTTGGTTTAACCTAGATGCTAGTATAGTGCAGTATTAAATGCAAAGTTAAGACAAATGTTAAGAGCTGCCTAATTCTAATTATTTGTTACATTGTAGACTTCTTTGTTTTTATCTAAAGATTACAGTGTTGTCATAAAGCTATAATGTTGCTATACCTTTTAGTAGTTTCAGACTCTAGAATGAATGAACTTTTTTCTTTTTTTGACAGTCAAGAATTCCGTCAGTGAAGAACTACAAAAAATAACAGTAAGTAAACCCACTTAATATTGAGATTTTTAGTCTGTCAAATGATTATATAAAAACAATATAGATCTGTTCAGAGGCATGCAGTTTCAGAATATTTTGCACAAGATAAATGCATTTCTTGCAACTTTAATGTTTTAATTTTTTGTCTTTCATCTTGGGCAATATAATGGGATTAATTTTGTAATCTTGGGATTACAAGATTAGGCTGTGGCATGCTGGTCGTTTTATACGCTAACAAAATCTTACATTATTTGTGTTGTAGAGCTATGAGGAAAAATTTGAGGCTGAATTTATCAGTTTATCTCATACTGTTGCCACTTGTCATCCTTGAAAGGACAGCTGGTAGGAGATGATTGACTTGAAACTCCAGGGTTCTTATTTAGTGCCATATAAGAGAAAGGCTTAGCGTCCTTCAGAAAATAGATTTAAAAGTTTGTCTTTTTCACTTTGATTCTATTCTGTTACTATATGCACTCTTTCAACTGAAATATTGGGATTCCTTCGATAGTGACGTCTCAAAAATAGTTGTCTGTATTATTCTTAGTTTTTTGGCATGTGTTTTGGTGGTTCTCTCTTCTGGCCTTCAGTCTTTCTGCCTGGACTGTAAACATAGTGATCTGCTTTTGCTAGGCATATATAACCAGACATTGCAAGTTAATTTTGTGGGGGCTTTTGTTGTTGGTTTGTGGGGGTTTTTTTGTTTTTTTTTTTTTTGTCCCTCCAAAAGTGAATAATTGCATATTTTAGTAGGTAGCCTTCACTAATTACTTGGGAAGAAAACAAATCTTTTGAACAAATAGAATTTTGTGGGGTAAATGCTGAGGATTCTTTCAGAATGACTTTAGTAGTGCAGAGAAGAATGTATATTCTCAGCAAGTTTGCTGGTGACACCAAGTTCGGTGCCGCAGTTGACATGCTGGAGGGAAGGGATGCCATCCAGAGGGACCTGGACAGGCTGGAGAGGTGGACTCATGCAAATTGCATGAGGTTCAACCAAGCCAAGTGCAGGGTCCTGCACCTGGGACGTGGCAACCCCAGACAAAAATACAGGTTGGGTGGAGAATGGCTGGAGAGCAGCCCTGAGGAGAAGGACTTGGGAGTGCTTATGGACGAGAAGCTCAACATGAGCCGGCAGTGCGCACTGGCAGCCCAGAGAGCCAACCATGTCCTGGGCTGCATCAGGAGAAGTGTGGCCAGCAGGTCTTGGGAGGTGATTCTGCCCCTCTACTCTGCACTCGTGAGAACCCCACCTGGAGTACTGTGTCCAGCTTTGGAGTCCTCAACACAGAAAGGACATGGACCAGCTGGAACAGGTGCAGTGGAGGGCCACGAAGATGATCAGAGGGATGGAGCACCTTTCCTATGAAGACAGGCTGAGGGAGCTGGGATTGTTCAGCCTGGAGAAGAGAAGGCTCTGGGGAGACCTTATAGCAGCCTTTCAATACCTGATGGGTGCCTATAGAAGAGCTGGAGAAGGACTCTTTGCCAGGAAGTGTAGTGATAGGACAAGGGGAAACGGTTTTAAATTGGAAGAAAAAAGATTCAGATTAGATCTCAGGAAGAAGTTTTTTACTATGAGGGTGGTGAGACACTGGAACAGGTTGCCCAGGGAAGTTGTGGATGCCCCATCCCTGGAGATGTCCAAGGCCAGGCTGGATGGGGCTTTGAGCAACCTGCTCTAGTGGGAGGTGTCCCTGCCCATGGCAGGGGGGTTGGAACTCGATCTTTGACGTCCCTTCCAACCCAAACCATTCTATGATTGTGCACTAGACTTGACAGCTTGAGAACCTGTTTTTTAAAATGTTGCTTTGTTCTGTGTTTCTTCTGTATTGTTCCATAGTAATCCTACTGCATGCTTGATTGTTCATTAACTATGAAGCTTATACTGTTCAGTTCCTTCCTTTATGTGGTCTGACCATTAATTTAAGAAAAAAGAATTTGGTCACAAAAATGTTTCACATGTCTGTCACAGTGTAGCTGTTGGTGAAGTCATATGTGTGCGTGTGGTAGAAGACTGATTTTCCTATTCTGCCATGCCCAGTATTTTCCAACCAGGAAATGAGTTAATAAGTAAGGATGGTTAATTTTCTGGGAAGTACTAACTATATGAATTTATTCTTGATGATGATTTTTATATGACCACAATAGGGAGAGGTGATGCTGGTTGATACCTTCTATAAGAATTAATTTTTCAAATGTTTGATTAATGAAAGAAGTAATCTACTAGTTGGTAGTAGTTTTCCTATGGAAAAAAATCGGAGCGTTAAAATTTTAAAATGTCATATAGTGCTGGTGCATCAGGGGATAAAACCTAGAATATATTTAGTTTCTTTCAGTGTAAGTATAATCAGCGGATGGAAACTGGAAAATTATTTTTCTTGTGTATTTTCCTGAATAAAGGCTCTAGTTTTATCTCAGCATTTGATTCTGCTACAGGAGTCAGAGCCAATTTAAAAAACAATCAAAAAACACGTTTTAGAATGACCTGTAGTACTTATTGTATGTAACTGCAGGTTCCTTATCTTCATATTTTGAGTAATTCATTCTAATATCAGATGGATATACTTCAATGAAATTGCTCAATATCTTGATTTTAAAAGTTCAGCTCCTCTGTATGTGATATAAATTTATATGACATTCATGCCTGTTTTGGGAATTAGGCCTTTTTTATACTAGTGGCATATGCAGGAACTATCAACAAGATCTTTTTGTCCACAGCTTTCTGGGTTTTTCTTTGGTTGTTTTTTGTTGTTATTGTTCTATTTTTAATTAAGTTACTGTAGTTTGAAGGTAGACAGCAAAAATCTTAGTTTTTGAATTTTATGTAGGAATATGACCAGCTGGTACTTTTGTGTAGCTTGTATGAAGTGTTACTGTGCTTTTCTTAAGAATAAAACTGTTTTATTTTTGCGTATTAGATATCAAAACAAAAAATCCCAACCAACCCACAAAGCTCCTTTTGGGTCACTGCACTTTTCTTTCAGTAGTGTTAAAATAACCTGTTGAGTTCTCAGTTTAACTGGTAGATCCGTTGGAGTCCAGGTTGCAAACTTGTTTAGTTTCAGTCAAGATCTAAAAAAATCTATTATCATCATTGATGTGTGAAACACTACAGCTTTCCACTTGTCTGTGTTAAAAAAAAATATAATAAAAACAATGTAAAAAAAACCCCAAACGTTTTTTTCCCTCTGGTATATAAAGATTTTTGGGCTAAATGGAAGACAGTACATCTGTATGAATGCTTGTTTTAACATTAATGTGTTTTTCTAATTCTAGGAAGATGAAAAAAATCTCATGATGAACAGCTTATATGCACTTCATGATAAATTGGCACAAGTAGCAGGTAACACTTTAAAAATATTGTGACTAAGTGTTATGGCAACAGCTACAAAGAAGTCTATGCTCAGATAGTGATTTGTAACAACTGGTATATGCTAGGGCCCAGAGCCATTTAGAGTTCCATTTTGGGAAACAAGAAATCCCCTTTCTAGTTCACTTACACTGCCTTTTTTACCAGTGTAGCACCTTTTGTTGCAATTTTTTTAGTTGGTGAGATAGGTTGTTGAATATTGTGATCCTGTATGGTTTTTGATCTAATGTCTTAGTACTTTATTAATTGTGATTTCATTAGAAGGTTTAAATATGCTACATTTGGAGAGGAATATATGTTTATTTTAAAGTTGGTTATTTCACTGTAGTGGAAAAATGTCTGAAAACCAGAATATTTCACAACAATCAGAAAATGCTTACTAATACAATGAACAGTAGTGGTTGAACAAGATTGCCTTGTTAGACAAAATAGTCCAACTTAACCATACTAATTATGTAGTAATGAAAAGTGCTCTATATAGTGTCAGAGGTGGTGTTTAGGATTAGTATTAATTATTGAATATTCAAAGTAGAAAAATACAGTCCTTTTTGCCTAGGGTCATAATTAACATAGCTTTAAACTACATAGATATTTACACATCATAATCAGGAAATGTTAAAGTTAGACTGTTTATAACTTCGGCATCTGGTGAGCATGAGTTACTGCAGAATCTATTTCATGACTGCTAAGCTATTTGCTTATCATCCTTGCCTGTTTAATCCATAATGTGTTTAGGAGACACTGGTTCAGCTTTTTTTTTTTTAAGCCTTACTGTTCTTAGTGCCAGCTATTTGTTTTGCAACAGAAAGTTTCACCAAGAAAGCTTTTCCACTATTATCAGACCCTATAGACATTTCTCAAACATTTTAAAAAATGTGGAAACAACTCTGTATCAGGTACAAAGTTGATAATTTAGTATGTCAGGGCTCTATAGGAAATCCATGAGAAGTTTGGGCAGCTCTGTAATGCCTTTAAATTGCAATAGTAATCTTAGAATCATAGAATTATTTAGGTTGGAAAAGATCTTTAAGATAATCAAGTCCAACTGTTAACCTAACACTAAGTCCACCATTAAATCATGTCCCTAAGCACCACACATCTTTTAAATACGTCCAGGAATGGTGACTCAACCATGTCCCTGGGCAGCATGTTCCAATGCTTGAAAACTCTTTCTGTGCAGAATTTTTGCCCAATATCCAATCTAAACCTTCCCTGGTGCGACCTGAGGCTGTTTCTTCTCGTTCTATCACCTGCAACTTGGGAGAAGAGACCCACCTCCACCTTGCTACAACCTCCTTTCAGATAGTTGTAGAGAGCAATAAGATCTCCCCTCAGCCTCCTTTTCTCCAGGCTCAACAACTCCAGTTCCCTCAGTCTCTCCTCATAAGACTTATTCTCCAGACCCCTTCATTGTATTTGTTGCCCTTCTCTGGACACGCTGCAGCACCTCACTGTCTGTCTTGTAGTGAGGGGCCCAAAACTGGACACAGTACTCAAGGTGAGACCTCACCAGTGCCGAGTACAGGGGGACCATCGCTTCCCTAGTCCTGCTGGCCACACTGTTCCTGATACAGGCCAGGATGCTGTTGGCCGCCTTGAGCACCTGGGCACACTGCTGGCTCATATGTAGCTGACAGTCTACCAACATCCCCAGGTCCTGTCCCAATCCCTCACTAGAGCCTTCCTACCCTCAAGCAGATTAACACTCCCACCCAATTTGATGTCATCTGCAAACTTACTGAGGGTGCATTCGAATTCCCTTTTCCAGATTGTTGATAAAGATATTAAAGAGAACAGGCCCCAGTACTGAGCCCTGGGGAACATCACTTGTGACTGGCTGCCAACTGGATTTAACACCATTTAGCACAACTCTTTGGGCCTGGCCATCCAGCCAGTATTTTACCCAGCAAAGAGTACACCCATCCAAGTTATGAGCAGTTGGTTTTTTTAAATACGTCCAGGAATGGTGACTCAACCATGTCCCTGGGCAGCATGTTCCAATGCTTGAAAACTCTTTCTGTGCAGAATTTTTGCCCAATATCCAATCTAAACCTTCCCTGGTGCGACCTGAGGCTGTTTCTTCTCGTTCTATCACCTGCAACTTGGGAGAAGAGACCCACCTCCACCTTGCTACAACCTCCTTTCAGATAGTTGTAGAGAGCAATAAGATCTCCCCTCAGCCTCCTTTTCTCCAGGCTCAACAACTCCAGTTCCCTCAGTCTCTCCTCATAAGACTTATTCTCCAGACCCCTTCATTGTATTTGTTGCCCTTCTCTGGACACGCTGCAGCACCTCACTGTCTGTCTTGTAGTGAGGGGCCCAAAACTGGACACAGTACTCAAGGTGAGACCTCACCAGTGCCGAGTACAGGGGGACCATCGCTTCCCTAGTCCTGCTGGCCACACTGTTCCTGATACAGGCCAGGATGCTGTTGGCCTTCTTGAGCACCTGGGCACACTGCTGGCTCATATGTAGCTGACAGTCTACCAACATCCCCAGGTCCTGTCCCAATCCCTCACTAGAGCCTTCCTACCCTCAAGCAGATTAACACTCCCACCCAATTTGATGTCATCTGCAAACTTACTGAGGGTGCATTCGAATTCCCTTTTCCAGATTGTTGATAAAGATATTAAAGAGAACAGGCCCCAGTACTGAGCCCTGGGGAACATCACTTGTGACTGGCTGCCAACTGGATTTAACACCATTTAGCACAACTCTTTGGGCCTGGCCATCCAGCCAGTATTTTACCCAGCAAAGAGTACACCCATCCAAGTTATGAGCAGTTGGTTTTTCCAGGAGAATGCTGTGGGAAATGGTGTCAGAGGCTTTACGAAAGTCCAGGTAGACAACATCCACAGCCTTTCCCTCATCCACTAAGTGGGTCACCTTGCAATAGAAGGAGATCAGATTATCCAAGCAGGACCTGCCTTTCGTAAACTGGTACTGACTGGGCCTGATCACCTGGTTGTCCTGTGTGTGCTGTGTGATGACACTCAGGATGATTTGCTCCATGACCGTCCCCACCACTGAGGTCAGACTGACAGGCCTGTAGTTCCCTGGATCTTCCTTCTGTCCCTTCTTGTAGGGCATCACGTTTGCTAATTTCTGGTCAACCAGGACCTCTCCAGTTAGCCAGGACTGCTGATAAATGATGGGAAGTGGCTTTATGAGCAGTTCTGCCAGCTCCCTCAGTACCCTTGGGTGGATTCCATCCAGCCTCATAGACCTGTGTGTGTGTGTCATAGGTGCTGCAGCAGGTCACTAACCGTTTCCTCTTGGATCATGTGGGCTTGTGTCTACTCCCTGTCCCAAAAGCTTTCTGAAGAAGTTTTTTGTTTGCAGAGCATTTACAACATCTGCAGTGAATAAAATAGCTGTTTGGACAAAACCCACAATTTTTTTCTTGTTTACATTATTCTTTAACCCAAAAAATAGTGAAAGAATCATGGTTAATCTCTGTTTGTTAGTTCCTGGCCAGGAGAATCTTTAGTACTTACTTCCAAAAAGTATAGCTATGCTTTCTGGTTAGATGATCCCCCTAACTGAAGCTGTATCGCGAGATTACCTGGTTGCTCAGCAGAGTAGCTTTCATACAGTCTGAAGAATGACCTAATTCATATGTACTTAGGCAGAAGTTATACTCAACACTAAATTTCTTAAGGTATGCGAGGAAGAGATCTGCTGTCTGTTTTTGAATACCATATTGATGTAGGCCTGGCACAGTGTCTGGAAGCTGTTTAAAAGTTATAGAACAGAGAAAGCTGCTAGAGAGGTGTGGGGTTTAAAAGTGTTGATCTTGTACCCAGTGCACCACTTCAAAAGAGAGAGAAGTAAAGGAATATAGTTTTACTAAAAGTGATGCTTTTCAGTTCTCTCTGTCACATACTTGGAAAAGTTTCTCTCATTTCATACTTGGCTATGAATCATTTGTTCATGTTATAACTATTAATATTAAAAAGGCAGGCTGGAAACTTGCAGTAGTCTGTTAAGCTTTATTCAATGTCTTGATTACCATGAAGATGGTCACTTCAGAATTTGTTTTCTAGCCCTCTTTATTAGACTTCTTACATTTTTACTGAGATAGTTTCTTGCCTTATCAACTTCAACTGGTGAGCAAATGATGGTACTTTTATTTTAGAAGGTAAAACACTGAAAGTTGTTTGAAGGAAGAAAAAGGGTAACAGTTTATTAATTTGACTTGGTATACTATGTTTCAACTGTAGACGCCTATTCTGTACTGTGGTGCCCTGATATGTAAAATTATTTAATTGTCCTATATAAAAATAGATTGCCTGTAATGCATCACTGTTCTCAGAATTACTTGTCTGCCAAACCTATGGTGAGTAATGCCTACCTCACAAGAAACTAAAGGCAGAAGCAGTATCTACTCGTCCAGTTCCCAGTGGAAGTTTGTGTTCCTGTCTGATGGTTCAGCCTTTCTTCAAAGCAGCAAATTTCTATAGACACTATATATTTCAGTGCTTAACTCTTTCTCCTAAACAAAAATATGTGCTTTATTTACATTAGACTTCCTTTGTGTATATGTTAATCAGTGATGTTTTGGTCTTTCATGGAGAGATTTCAATAGATCACGTCTATTTTCAGTCAGGCTTGCAAAATGAATAAACCTAACCACTATATCCACAAGAAGTAGCCAGCTACCGAGGGGTATGACCCTGCTTTCTTGTACATAAAGAAATTTTATTTAGTTAGATGTTTCTTTTGCTTGGCATTCTCCCCAGAGTGATGATCTGTCAGATTTAGACGGTTTCCTTCTGAGCTAATGGACAGCACAGGCCCTTGAAATGCAGGTGTGAATTAGACTTCCATATGTAATAAAGCTTACCGATAAATCCATGCCTGGAAGAAAATCCTGGCAAAACACTACATATTACTTAATATTAATTTCAGGTGTCAGCTACTGTATATGATTGCTGTCATGGGCTCTCTGTGCTGCCACTCTCCTTAATCTTTAGTTCTTCAGGTAATTGATATTGTGCTGTTTCCAACCAGTGTTTTAAAGACTATTTAGGAAGTTCTGGTTTTCTGCACTATTACTAAATTGTTGAATTTGCATTTAGGAGATCAGGCATTCTCACTTGCTCTCACAACGCTTGTTCTGCCCCTGCTTTTCTTCAGGTACCTACTTTAATGTCCTGCTGCAAGTAACCTGTAAGCATGAGACCTGCTAAACAAAATGTTTATACAGTTTGCTTTTTGTATTGGTTGGCTCTGCCACATCAAGCTCTAAGGTAGAGATCTGTGCTAAATCCATGTGTTCCTTAAAGTATTGTATTTCCACTGGATTTTGGTTCTGGTACTTTAAAAGATTTGCTTTACGGTGTAAATCATTATTTTAAAATTCTGACTATTTCTGTTAACTGTATATGCTGCAGCTCATAAATTAAGCTAAATTCCCAAATGAAAGTCAGTTTCAAATATTCTAACCTGTGTGGAAAAGCAGATCTGACTGATTTCCTGTATTGAAAGCAATTGTGAGAACAGACTTAAATGCTTCTTTAGAACTGAGGCTTTAGTTACTTTTTGTTAGTATTTCTAGGAGAACTCAACTTATATGGCTTGCCGGTGTACACTAACATAAGCTAAAAAGTAATTTTGTGATCCTTACTGGGACGTGTTACTTCTCACCTCCCTACCAAGGCAAGTAGAATGGTTCTCTGATTGCACTTGAAATTGAAGTGATCTGAAGAAAAGTTTGAGCACAAAGATTTATCCTTTTTGTAAGGTTGCAATAGTCGTTTTAACAGAGGGGCAGTTTTTACAAATTGCTCAGATGTATCTTGCAGCAGACCTGTGTAAAGTGGTTTTTTTCCCTCTGCTTCAGTTTTATTCCTGGATATAGGGCCTCACATGGAACAGTTGGGAAACATTTTTGGCTCAGACTATGGAAAGTGGGTTTCCAAGCCAAGTGGTTAATGATTGCACCAAAGTTATTCAAAGTAAGCCTTCATTTGCAGAACTATTAGCTAAAGCAGTGACTGTAATGGCATATAGGAATATCCTGCTGTTTGCTGTAAAACAGAAGGTTGTCCAACTTGTGAATTGCCTAACTTTCTGCAGGCTTTCAAATTCATGAGTTTCTCAGAAGAAAGCTGTTAAATGGTTCTCAGCAATAGATGGGTTAGAATGAGAAACTGCATCTCCAACAGCTTTTTGTACAGGACTGAAACTCTCTAACTCTGATTAGCTCACTCATTTAAAGAGTGGGAGGCAAGAAGAAAGTGGTATTTTTGCCCCCCCTGAATTGCATGAGAGTAATTTGGACTGATGGGCCTCAGACATTGTCAGAGCCTAGGCAGCAATAGCATTTTTAATTGTTAAACTTGTTCAGAGAGAATATAGGCTGGAAAAAAAAAAAGCAGCAGGACTGCGAGGAAGCTGTCTGCTAGTTTTTGAAGATGAGAGCAGAAGCTGCGAAGTCAGTGTGGTGACTGCATGCTGCATAAATGTAATTCCTGGACGAAAGCAAATTAGTAGTTTTGAATTCTTAAGTAATGCAGTAGTCCCCTGCCTAAGAGAGCTTTTGTCCTCTTACTAGACACAGTAATTCTCATAAGATTGAAATCCAGAAGGAATGCCGAAACTTACTTTTAAGAATTAGTTGTTTATAATCTGGTCTCCTGCTTGTATGTTTTGTTTGTTTTCTTTTCTGTGTATCAACCTTACCCTTTCTATTCTTTCGTATTTATTTCATATATGGGTTTTCTTAGTTATCTAGATAATTAAAAATCAAACAAAAGCTCCTAAGCAGAAGAGTCTCATCCCCCTGCTCTCACAAGCTGTTTTGCTCGGTCAAATTGTGACTAATATGCTTTTTCTGTATTAGAAAGACCCCAGGAAGACTTCAGGTCTTGCCGAACAATGAAAAAAAGCTTAAATGGATGAATACCTATCAGACTTGCTCATGTCACTCAACTTAATACCTGCTTGAGTGTCTACATGTCGTTTCTACAGAGTTACATTTTACTTTTCTTGTGTTTATTCCATCAGTTCTAGATTTTAAAACAGTATGTTTACACCAGAGACTATATGATACATAGTTACCCCAAGTCTGCTAATCTTGAAACGTGAAATCACTGATGATTACACATGTGAATTTACAAGTTGTAGAATTTATGCTGCACAAAAAGAATGCCTAAATTCCATATACGAATAGCCCATAACTCCAGTTCTGGTGCTGACTTCTAAATTCAGAGTGTGTTTTGATAAAGGTGGTGTCACTTTTCACCTGTAGTTCTCTGTGATTTTGCTGTTATAGGCACTTTGAAAGTCTGAGATGTTGCATGTTAATTACCAGGTCCATCATTTTTTAAAGTAGTGTATTTTCTGTTCAGTACTTGTTTGAAAATACTCACACGCACACAGGCATAGCTCCAGCAGCTCTTCTAAGCCAGACAGCATATGAGCACTCTTAAAAACAGTGTTCCTATTTCTCTATAACCCAACAGTAAGAGAAGAGCATACCTGTTGTGCTGATGTGCTTGCAAGGCTGAATTTACTTAAATCTGTTGAAGTGTATTGAACAAAACTTTGCTTTAGCAGTCTGAGAAGGATTTTTGCTTAATAGAAGCACTTATTTCTTTGGAACTCCCTACTGTTAATGAGACATGAAGATGCTTCTCTGTAACTTGCTAGCGTTTCCTAATTTTTGTTCAGATTGCCTCAAATGTTCCGGTTTGTGTAGGGAATTAATACTTGAAGTTGCTCCATATAAAGGGTATTCCAGTGTGGAGTAATTTCAACTTTAAATACTTTGTAAGAGTGTTTTGGATATGCATGAGTATCTTAAACTTCCATAGCCTTGCTATGGCTTTGGGAATAGTACAGCCTGGCACAGATTCAGGAAGGTATGGCAGGCACAACCCTGAGCCAGTGAAAGACTGAATGTGTTGTTTCCTATTTTATTGTTTTGGCATAGTAAAATCATAGTTACAGACACTAAGATTTTTTTTTTTTAATTTTTTGGTTTTTTTAAAGAAAGATCAGGAAAAAAGAGATTTGCAGCTCTCTGATAGTTCTTCAGAAATGATGACCCAGTGATAGATAAAACTGGTATTAGGCATTTTAATTTTCTGTGTGTCTTTGTTCTGGTATGACTGTTGCTACATATTTTTTTGCATGAATCGAGTACCTTCAGTTTAGCAAAGAAATCAGGAAGATGATGGCAAGTGGCTGTGAGGACTGGCTGTGCATGTAATACTTTATTTCCTGACAGCTACTGCATACTTTCCAAAAGCATTAGGAGGATGGTAAACCCACCAGTTTCAGGCCATACTGGGATTTTTGTGTATGTTCAGGAAGGAGATGAGCTATTGTGACAACTTGAACCAATCTAGAATATAGTAACTTCATAGTGCCTGAAGTATTGTTATGGATGTGTTGCAAATGGACCTAACCTGATCTGTATAATAGATAATACGTGTTTCAGAGTAAATGGAAATTACTTGGAGTTGAATCAGGGTAGAGCAACTGTTTCATGGTAACATCCTTTTGATAGTTCTTCATACTAACTTTTCTTCTACTTTCAGTGTAAATACCAAAATACACTTTCTGAGCAATGAAATTGTATTGATATGACTTGTATATATTATTAGCTGTGAAAATCTTCATTTTTTAAAAAAATTCTTTGAAGGATAAATTTGTCCAGAGACTTTTCCATATTTTTAGTGGAACTTGTGGGAATTATTGAGCTACTGCTAATTGTGCAGATTGTGTTAACCGTAAGCTTGTGTTTAGGTGGTGATTTTTATTTTATATAATGCAGTAATAAGTAGATCAAAATTAACAAAAGTTTAATTTTACCAGGGGAACATGAATGTGGCAGCTCTACTCAAAGAAATCTTACCGTCCAGGAGGCAGCTGCATATTTAAAAGTAAGCAAATAAGATATTTTTCATTGGTTCTGTATAAGATTTGTATGTTACCGTTTGTAAGGCCTAGTGTCATATCTACTGTATTGACTAAAATTTGACTTAGTAATGAATGTTATTTGGAACTGTTTGGAATTTACTTCTTCAACATGTGCTACTTGAGATTTTCCTTTGGGCACGTAGCAAGGTTTTAAGGGAGAGGAAAGGTAAAAGAAACTGGCTTAATTGCTATAAAAGTATAGATAGTCTTACTTCAATTGCGTGCAGGTTTTTTTTACAACACTAGGGCCTAACTTGAATTGATGGAGGTAGTTGACCAACATGAAAATCATAAATTTATTAAATTCAAATCTGTAGAATCTTCTCCAGAAATCACTGTGTTATGTTTGAGGCTTCATAGAGAAGTCTTTACTTTCTTTGGGAGGAGAGGCCGAACGGGTGGATCTGTGCAGTGGGCCTGACAGCAGCAGCTGTATGGAGACACCATTCATTGATGCTTTAAATAGAAATGGTCAAAAAAGACCTTTTTGTTAATTTGATAGGTAGGCAGTATTATGAAATCCCACTCTCTGCTGTCATTCTCCTGCCTAGCTCCCCAAATAAAAGATGACTCTTGCCTTGTCTTGACAGCTGTAGGGTTTATTTTAGCCCACGTTGGTGTACCCTTCAGTGGAAAACTACTTGAAGGTTTTAAAAGGCTGAGAGTATGAGATTTATTTGATTGGATTGGGAGGAGTTAAGCTGATATGACTTAATATACAGATGTATAGAAATTTTATATCTTGGCAAATGTTTACCTAGTAGACAAAAAGGGGCAATATTAAGAGCGTCCTGAAGAAGCTGCTAACACTGGTTTATGGTTTGGCAATGATATTCTGTATTTGTTAAAACCAATGTGTTGTGGGAAGCCATTGGAAAAAATTCAGTTGATGCCAGATAACTAATGGTCTTACCTATATTGTGCTGAAACAATCACAGTTGTTGTCATAACAACTGTTTTAGCTCTAATTAGAAGCTCAGATTTCATGTTTCACTTTGTACAAAGTCATGTAACCCTACAGTTCCTCATTTTGGGAGTAAAAATATAACTCCTTTGCAGCATCTCAGTATTCAGTGATAAAACTTTGTTTTACTCTCAAAGTGAAAATAAAACAGTTAATTTTTTTTCTTAAGGGTTTATCTTATCTTTTAATTCTAGGCCAGTTACAGTATGTGAGCTTGAAAGGAAAGATGGAGATAATATTTTTGAGAGTATAATTTCAAATACAGCAGTAACTTCCATCTTTGCTTTTCTTTTTCTGCAAAAGAACATGCTAGGTGAACTATGGAGACAGCCTCAGCTCAGACAGCAGTGAATGTTCTCCTGTGATAGTTGATACCAACTAATTTATTTTTTTATAGTCAGTTTCTGTATAGTAATATCAATTCTTGAACTGCAAACACTGGACTAATTGCAAAATAGGAGTTAAAATTCATTTACTCTTGAAGTAGATTTTCAACGAACGCCGCCTAGTGGCTGAATGCTTTTTTGTTGCTGTAGGTTAGCATTGTTAATAAAACAGTGGATGTGGCTTGTCATTTCAAACAGTCCTTACTTTGAGGAATGCTAGTAAGTCTGATAGCTGCTTATAGCACGTATAGATTCACTTTGTGTAGTGAACATGTATGCAAAATCTGAAGAATCAAGAGCAAAACCACATAGTTTTGGCAGCTAATCTGTGCAGTGTCTGAATTTTATTGTGGCATGATAACTTTCTGGTTATTAAAGAAATTACTCATTAATATTTGTCTTTTGACAGAATTTAGATCCAGAATATGAAAGTGTACTTAACACAGCATTAGAATGGATCTTGAATAGTGGGGAAGATGTTGGCATAAAGTAAGTGCTCTTTATTTCTTAACTTATTTTCTTCTACCAGAATGTATCCTTTTACATAAATACTTTATATTTTGGAATAGGTGTCTCACCAATGACCCTAATGAGATGGATGTCACTAATGTGACGGATGTGAAGTATCTGGAATCCACTAGTCCAAAGATGTCTTTCAGGTGTCGTTTTCGCCGTGCATTTGTTAATGTAACTCACAGATTATCAATATTGCTTTTGGGTAAGTTAATAAAAAGTCTTTTTTTATAACTTTACGTTTATGTAAGTGCACAGGGAAAAGTAAACAGCTTGTTTAGAGAGTTTTTATTTAACCATAAAACTTGGGAGTTACTATCAGGTATCTTGGTTACAATGAAATTTGCTTCCTACTTCTGTTGCACCACTGTATTTTCACATTGGTTGCTGTCATCTGCTGCTGTAGCCAGTTGAACATATTCATTCTTTGGGAACACTTTTTACCTGCTGAAGCAATACCTTCTGGCTTCCTTAAAAATTCCGGGTTGAACTGATTTGAAAAAGCAAAATGCTCAGTAAAAAGACATAATAGCCTTAATTTTTAGGATTTTTCACTGTTGTTTAAGGGACTTTGGAAACATAACTACAGAAAAGATACCCAACGTGGTTGTCACCAAAAAAATATTATGTTTTACAACATAGTCTTAGAGGTATCTAATCCTTCAGTAAGACTAATTCATTTAGTCTTTGATAGTTCTGTAGTTAAGTTTCAAAATCTTTCAAGTTTGTTTCTTTCTTTACTGAAAACTGTGAAGCATAAAAATATGGTACAGCTGAGTGCAGACACTTCATTCCTTTCCATGTGGCTGGTTAGAAATATTGAAGGTGCAGAGTTCATCTCATGCATCTGTTGAATATTTAATAAATTGTTTGTCCCCATATCTTAAAAATCTCATGCTTATGAGCAGAAGACTTGAGACCTTGTCACCAGCCTTTTGATGAACCAAGGGATTCAAAGGCAATCTGTCCCAGGTTGCTGTCTTTCTGATAATGTTTAGGAGGGTTGAATTGGGATGCGGAGATGAAGCTCAGTATCCAAGTCAACCACTGGTCTCATCAGTCATGCTGAGCAAATTGCTGTCTCAACTTTCTCATCTGTAATTAAGGTTAATATGAAGGACCTTTTCAAAAACAAACCATTGCATAAGTGTTAGATGTATTGTCATTTAACTAACACCCATTTTGGTGTCCCTCAGTCTCTTTGATGTATTAATCAACATTTCCTTGCCAACACTGTAATGAGTAACAAACTATGTAACTATAATTTGGGTATGTGTGGTTTGTTTTATTTTTTTTTTTCCTGTTACGGGATCACGGGTATATGTGGTGCCCTCAGCCTGAGACAGAAGAAAAAATAGGATTTTTATTTTCAGCTTATGCTGCTGACCTTCATAACTCGATTGTCCTTTTTGGGAATAACCTTTAAGTAATAGAAGAAGAGCATGCAGTACTTCGTTGCAAGAAATGCAAATCTGTAGCTGAACTGAAGTAGTGCAAGTTAATTGGTTTTTACCAGTATATCTAAAACATGTGAGTTGTCTGTGAATTAGTGAATATTGTGCATTTTTAAAATTTATTGTGTTTTGAATTTTCAGATTATGTGACTCTTCAATTTTTGCAATATAATTGGTTGAGTATTTTTCTTCCCAAATGGGTAAAATTTCAAACCACAATCATGGGATATGAGGCTATTGTTGAAACAATGAAATGATTTTCTAAAGCTTACTGCTTTTCAATGTTTTAAGAGTTTGTGTTGCTGTGTTAGTAAAATATAAAATATTGACAGTGAGTACAATGTATTTCACTAGCTTTGAGATTTGAAGTACTTCAAAATGTTAGCTAGTTCAATTAACTTCTGAAGTACGTGCTGTAAACTTTAAGTAACTAATGTTCTAATACTGTTTAAAGAGTATTACATTTATTAATGCAGGTATAGCAGTGGTCTGGGGAGTCTTGTACTACATGAAATACCGTTGGGCAAAAGAGGAAGAAGAAACGAGGCAGATGTATGATATGGTGGTAAAAATCATAGGTATGGCTTCTTGAGTTGCATATGATGTATGTGTATCAGCTGTGTATAGCCTTTCAAAGTACTGGCATTAATTCAGTTATGTTTTCTGCCTATTTAGTTGTCAGTCATCATGCTGTTAGATTTCCTGGTCAAAAGAGTTCTTGGTTCATGTTCTTTTTTTAATTATTTTTTTTAATCGTTTTAATAGTAATCTTTACACCTAATAAAAGCTTTTGGTATAAAGATTGTAATTTGTCAATTACATCAACATAGGTATAGTAAATTCCCATTGATTCAGTGGTGGTTTATATTAATATTGAAAACAAATACAAATGTTTGAATAGAAGTACGGTGACGCGTTGCTTTCTGTATCTGGTTTTTCAGCTTTCTTTAGCCAAAATATCCACTCCTAAAATGTGTGTTTGCTCTCAATTGCATCCTTAATGGCTTTTCATAGAAAAAGCAGCTTTTTAATGAGTCACTTTGAGGAGAGATTATGTTACTAAAATAGAATCCATAATTGAGTTCTGACATTCTGCCTTTCCACTTGAAGCCACAATGTTTTCAGTAGTTTGTGTTTGTAGTTTTTAAGCTGTTTTGAGCTGCATTTTTACTTATTTTGTCTTATTACATTCATCTGTGGCAAGCATCTTAAATACAGAGATGGTAGACAAATTGGAGTTTTATCCCTGTTTTTACCCCTTTCCTACTTTTTTGTTTGCAAATCAACTTTTATTGGGATGGGGAAAGCACTTTATTTTGAAAGGTCTTTGCTAACAGTTAAAAGTACCAATCAAGAGTAACTGCAGGAACTAGTTTTGTTTATTCCAAAGTTATTCAGGGTACTTGGAGGGTACCGTGTGTGCACAGTTTTCATGATTTGCCTTCGGCATGGTTAGGAGGAAAAATGCTTCAAAATGCCAAAACCACCTTAACTACTGAAATTGGGAGGGGTCTTCAGAATAGCTGTTTATTGTCAGAATTGATATTTTTTCATAATGTTTGCATGAACTGCATAGTTACCAGCTTTTCTTGTGTTGTCCTCAGATGTTCTAAGAAGTCACAGCGAGGCATGTTCTGAAAATAAAGACTTGCAGCCGTACATGCCTATTTCACATGTGCGTGATTCTCTAATACCACCTCAGGACAGGTATGTTCTCACTAGAAGTGCTGAATTTTCTTACGTGTAAGTAAGAAAAAATAGTGAAAATAAATTGGTCAATTAACTAAATTAACTTCAGTAGGTTGCATAGTGTAATGTTTTGGAGATTTTTATTGACGCAGGTCCGGGGGAAAAAATATTGAATTTCTCTTACATGCTGGATGTCGGCTATGCCAGTTTTTATAATGCTAACTTTATAATTCTTGCTTCAACTTTTAAGGAAGAAAATGGGGAAAGTCTGGAGTAGAGCAGTTGACTTTCTTGCAGCCAACGAATCTAGAGTTCGCACAGAGACACGAAGAATAGGTGGTGCCGAGTTATTGGTTTGGAAATGGATGCAACCTTCTGCAGCATGTGACAAAATTTTAGTAATACCATCGAAAGTGTGGCAAGGCCAAGGTATTGAAGTTTAGTTATATCTTGCGAATATAATTGTTTTGATTTCTGCATCTAACTTCTAAATGGTATTTTGTTTCTTGAGCATGAAAGTCTTGTTTTCTCTCACATCTTTAAGTATTGTTATGAACTCTCAGTGCTATTTCTCGGTCATCTTGTTGTATAGACTTACTTTTTCTGTGCATTCAGCATCTGCCTTTTTTTCAAGCAAAATGAGCTGTTCTGTTATAGCTACTGCAGAAATGCAGCAGACAGCACGTAGGCAAAATGAGTTGCTTGTTCTTCTTCATGAATTTAAAAAAAACCTCTTCAGTTGGTCAAGTCCTGACATGCCTTATGCTTACTGGCATTGGTTGTATCTGACAGCAGGTAAATTGGAGCTTGTTGACTGAGTTTCCTGCTGCTAAGTTATCGGTTGGGTACCTAAGGACAGAGTTTGGAGGAAAAGATGTTTGTTTATTTTGAAAGGGAAACTGCTGGCACAAAAAACTCCTCAGTCAGCAGAACATAGATTTTGAGCATCTACTAGTAATGCTTCCTTTCTGTCATAAATGTTTCTCTACATGGCACATTTGTATTTCAAGCTCTATGGTGCATCAAGGCATTTGCATTAATAGAGGAGGCTGTTGTCATACATGGATTTTGCAGTGGTCTGTCACTTTTACACTTTGTCATGGAGCCGACTGGCAAGAATTCAATGAGCTTGCAGTTGTCTGTCTGCAGTGGTCATCTTTTCCTAGTTCTTTTTCTTTCTCCTTTCTTCATGTTAAGCTTCAGGTTTTGGGGTGGTTTTTGGGTTTTTTGGTCAATGAAAAATTGAAGCTATAAGACTTGAATTTGGGTGGAAATAAAAAAGAATTGTTTCGGTCAATGTCTGAGTGTGAAGGTAAATTTTTAAAGTGAAATACTAATTGCCAATTGCTTAAATGTTGCAACTCTTTTAAGAGTCTGTCTTGCCTTATGTTCTTCTGTAATGCTGTATTATCTCTCTAGTGGGACTGAAATAAATCCTGTGCAGAATCCTGGTTTATTTTGATGGTGAGGGAGGAGGGAGTGGTTGCTTCTCCAGTTTTTAGTTCAACTTTTTATATTGGATGTTATCAGGGTTGTATTGTGCATTACTTCTATGGCATTGAACTAGACTCTGAAAAAAGCCTGGTTAAAAATCAGACAGACTTTCTGCCCTTCCTGGCCCCGCTTCAACAAAATAAAAATTCCCACTGGCAAGCAACTGCACTCTCATCTATGTTCTTCTGGAATACGCTAATTTTGGTCTTAGTTTAACTAATGCAAGTAGTAATAGGCTTTCTTCTTCTGATTTTTACTGGTATACATTTTTATTTGCAAGAAATAATGTTTTTATTGTTTCCTATAAAAGAGGGTACAGTTTTAAACTAGCTCCTTCCAATGTGATTATTTCCTTTCCAAGGACAGACAGAAAGAGCTTCTTTGTGGCCTGGAACATTTACGCTGTAGCAAGCTTGGTCACCCAAGTAAAAGCACTGCTAACATTCTGGTTTTGTCCCAGGCCACTTGCATATTTTCATAAGTTCTATGTATGCCTTCAGCCCTCGGGTCTTAAATTTCTCTTTTCTGTATGTTCAAAGCAAACCCAAACAATTCTGTCTGTCAACATGAAAAGCCAAATGTTTTGAGACATTTGTAGATACTTGGTATGTTACCTGATGAGGGTCTTAAAAGTCTTGGGGACATATTTCTTGCTTCTCTATGCAAAACATTATGTTGGGATCTCATTATATACTTCTCTGAATTATGCTACTGGTTTTAGCATTATGTTTCTCATTTTAAATCATTCGCTGGAAATGAGGGCTGCTTTGTTTTTTGAAAATACCTTCTGAGTACTACTGCAGGCTTGAGGTTCTGCAGTCACTGTCTTGCAGTAGTGGTGACATGGCATTCTGCTGTGACAAGAGTTGCTTTATTTCAGTTTCTCAAAACTTGGGTGAGTAGGATGTGAATAGTAACATTATTTACAAGAGTTGCAGAGCCTTTTCTTTCCAGGACATTGTCCATTAGGCATGTGCAAGTGTTTCAGGTGCAGAAATGGTCGTTTTTGTCAACAGCTGTCTCGGTTTCATCTCTCTAATACTGTCATGGTTGTTTTTTCAAACACTTAAATTGAACGTAGCTTCTGGAAGTTATGTATATTATAAAGCTGAATCTTCTATGTAGTTTATTGTTCAGTACAGGCTGTGAAACATGACACTCAACTTCTCATTTACTACTAATCTGCTCTCAGTTTTTCTTACCCTGTTTGACTGCAATATAAATCACTCTGTAACATTCTGTCCTGTATTAGAAATGGGACTGGATTTTCCTTCATCTGGAAGACTTCTCAGATTGTGATAGCTCAGGCGCTGCTTTCCTATATGGAATATACATTCAAGACTCAGCAGTAGTTTCCAAAACTTCCTAGAAAGACAGCTAGTGTAGTAGCTACCGTTAGGTACTGTCTGTATTTGAGCATCTGATACCTACTTTATCATATTGTGAATGTGGACAGAATAACTTACTCAGCTGTGGCTTTTAGCTGTATGTTACCTAGAGTATGTACTTAAGACTCTATGCTTTCTATTGAATAGGATATATTAAGATCTATCTTGTTCCAGTTCTTTTAATAGCAGTTTTCCTAGTTTTCTTGTTATGTTTGTAGTTCAGCAAAGATCTTTGAAGAACTGAAATTTCTCTAACAGAAGGGAGTGGAAATGGGAGAGGCTGGAATGACGTAGGTCATTTGGGCTCTCTATATTTTGGTAGTCAGCAGGCAAAGGCAACTTCGACATGCAAAGGCTCTTTCTATTTTGCATTTTTCTTTTTCATATGGCTCTTGGAAATAGTTCCATTAAGTCTCATACTTTTTGCACAGTTGTTTTTCCTGATGTTAGGCATTCTATATGCATGTGCCGCTTTCTTAATATTTTGAAGTATAAATAAACTGGAATTAAATTAGTCCTCCAGTTTTAACGTTTCAATATAGAAGTTCATGAATGGAAATGCTTGTCAATACTGCTAGGTTCTGAACAAACCCAGTACATGTAAAATCAGAACGAATTCTTAATTTTGAATCTTGTGAATAAATTTGAAAATCAGGTTTTTTTCAACCTTCTGAGATCTGGTAGTGCTCTGTAGCAGAGCCTAATCCCTAGAGTATGTGCAACTGAAAAAGAAGGCCTCTTGGCCTGTCAGTATGTACAAGGATATTGGTAGATGGCATGCATTCTAAATATGGGACCTGTACCATCCATGACAATCTAGGTTCTACTGTCTGTTAGCATCTAGACTTCAAGCATCACACTGGCATTTTGTCCAGTTCTTCAGGATGCAGCCTGTGTTTTGACAGACAGTTTGGGATGATTTTTTTTATTTTGACAAGATCAGAATAGTCTGGTGTACTTCCATTGAAATATTATCTACTGGATACAGTAAATGTATCTGTCAGAAAAAAAAAATGGGTAAAAAAGATGACTGTAGGATGCTGGACAAATATAAGGGATGTATTGGAAACAGTTGACAAAAGAATTTCAATTGAAAAGCAAACTTGTTCATGCCAAAGTGTAATTTAATTAATTCGGGGTGGGGGGTGGGAAGGAGAATTATATTTCTAGTGTGTACAGTTTGATTTTGAAAGAACGGATACTGTTGTCCTGTCATGCCTTTGATAACTGGAGCTCTAAAGAAAAGTAGGTAGGCAGAACTCCAATGTAGCTAAGCTAACAGCAATAGCTAAAGTTCCTTGACGGCTCTGGAGATGAGATAAAGAGGTTCTCTGAAGTACCGCATCTAGGGTGATATTTCATCCTGCGGCATGGAAGATAACCTGTTACCTTGTGTGAATGACACCCCTTCTCCCCAGCTTGTGAGAATATAATCCTTTCTCCATGTTAAAAAAAAAAAAAAAGCTCTTCTTAACGATTGGAAGAAACCTGTGGATTTTATGCTTGTTGTAAAATGTTGTATCCATTCCATGCTGGTCTTCATAGCAGTATTTTGATTTCACTATCTTTCCTATTTACTTTCCTATTTTCTTCAGAAACACGTTTACCTGTATTTGATGCAAGTCTTCAACTTTATCAGGTGCATCAACACAACATATCTTTAGATGTGGCTTTGTCTTATAACACATGGTGGTGATACTGGGGAATCCCTTTAGCAATAATGCAGTAGTAATTCAAGAGGTAAGGAAAGCTGTACTACAATTTCTTAGATGTTCATTTTGAAGTCTGTGCAAGAGCCACTTCTTTCATCATTGACATTTTCTAGTTGAGGTGGTTGAAAGCGTGTGCTTTTAGCTGCTACTGTTCTTGGAATCTAGAATGATACAGGCATATTCAGTTTAAGGTAATAAACCAAAGTACATTATGAAGGAAATAACAAGGTGGCTTCCTTTTCTTGAAGGTGTTCACTAGGGGGAATTCATGAAAGTCCTAAAAATGTTTTTGTCAGTAACTTAGTGCACAAAGTTGTGCTTCTGCTTTCATATTTCATCTCTACCTTTTCATCCTCATCTTACAAGCCTTACTGTTGAGACCTATTTAGGAAAAGAAATGGCATATGAGGTGCTTAGTTAATTATGGTGTAGCTTAGACTGTTGTCCTGCAGGAATGTCTACTTATGCCCTTACTGTGAGGAGAATATTTTGTATGTACCACACGAGTGTAAATTTTCAAATAATCAGTACTGTGATCTGAATAGGGTTGTCACTTAAACTTGCTCTTTTGGGAGGAGGGAAAGAATTAATTGTTACAGATGTGTGATGAAGTTTGAGACTTCTGTTAACTAAGCTGTTTTGAATTTTGCTGTATAGAGACAGCATTATTTTTAACTTGCCTCAACCATCCCTAGCCTCCCTTTTTGGTCTCACTTCTGGTATATATTTTAATGCTTATTCCTGTGCTAGTGTTAATTTTGTGGCTTACTGGTTTCTGTGGCCATTTTTTTTCCTTATACATAAAAAGCTCCATCTAAGTTGCAAAACTTTCTTTTAATTTACCATGGCTTTGAAATGTTTTTGAGGAAGAAGCAGAATTCATCTTTATTTTCATATGCTGCACTGCCCTGGGGACATTTACTCTACTAGTATGATGCCACATGAAGTTAGTAGCAGATTAGTTTTATGCTGGTGATGTGCTCTGGCTGAAGTAATCCCTTCAAGCAGCTGAATTTTTTCAATCAAAAGAACATCAAGATAATTAGAAATTGGAGCAGGCAAAGCTTGTGTTTTTTTTATAGGTATCTACACTAAATCATTAATTCCCCATTTAGTTACTTTTGCATAGCTTAATGGTGTAGCTGCTGCCTTAAGCAACAGTATGGGGTTTTTTTTGAGTTCATAAGTAGCTTGCAGAAATGTTGATCATCTGGGCCTAGGGTCTCTGCAAATAACCTCACCATTTTTTATCCTTGGATTAAGACCATGTGCTGAATAAACCTAGGTATTAACAATCGGCACATAATTTCCTCAACCCCACGCCTTTTCAGGTCCAGGTCCATGACTAGGCCACCCCAGATCACCTTCTCCAGTATGGTGTGGTGCCCCAGTGTACAATATGCTGGTGACATTTCACCCCCTCCCTTGATCTGCTGGAGCCAACCTACATGAGTAAGGTAAGTCCATTTATTTTTCAATGTTGCTTAGTTCTGTAAAGTTTTTATTGTGTACCCTATGTATAACTTTTAATCAAGGGCAAAAAACTTTACAAAACCATGTGCTATTGAAAAAGGACTTGTCCTTAAACTATAGGCAGCTCAGAGATAGATGCAGTGTCACCAGCATATTTGGAAATCTATTCCCAAGACAAAACAGACAACTGTTACGGGTGTTGGTGACTTGGACTCTGTGTGTCTATATTCTAATAAGAGCACTTTAAGTTATTTGGGGAAATTGTGGTAGGTTCCATATTGGATTTGGAGGCCACATTTTCTAAGTTCTAGTTGGTAATTTTTTTTTCTCTGAAATTTATGTAAGGAGCAAGTTTGTCTATCCTGTATCTGCAGGCAGTGAATTTTCTCTTGGTTAGTGCTTGTCTTTCACATGCAGTGTCTTCTACGTGACCGACTTTCTTCTGCGTGACAGCATTTTTGTTTTGGTGACATACAGAAGAGCAGCAGTGTTAATGTATTTTGGATATACTTGCAAGATTTTGTTTTAAAAGGTCAGCAGTAAGAAGCACAGACCTGTAGTATCATCTTGCCAAAACTGAGACTTGTAACACTTGGAATGTAACATCTTGAACCCGTCAAACTTTTCCAAAGTAGGGATTGCAAAGGAAAAACATTAGCATCAGATTGGAACATCATTTTGTCTTGTTGAGATTTTTAAGCTTATATTTAAACTCTTGAATCTACTTATCTCAAGTCTTCAAAATAAAACTTCCTTCAAGCCTTAGAAGTTGTTTTACCAGGTTATTCCCTTCCATTTCTGTTGTTGCTTTGTTGGTCCTTCTCAAGGCATGGAACTACCTTATCTGAATCTGAATGGCTCCTTTATTCCTTTTCTCATGGTGCAGTCTTCTGTTTCAACTCCCACAAGTGGAGCTTCTGAACTTTAGAGAAGTTAATATTTATTTTAGAACTTCAGAATGTATTTCATGGGATTGTTCAGCTTTGAAAGGGTTACTCTGTTATCTGTGTTATCTTCTGGTGTGTTTCACTTCAGATTTTTGCAAGCTTCTGGTCCTGTGTGTAGAACATTAAGGGTTACAAAAGCCTCCATCCTTGTAGAGTGTTCTTTGGCAGTTGTTACTGCAATACAGATGCAATACAACATCCATCTATGCGTCTCCCTATTTCTTGGTCAGATGGGCAGTAAATTGCCCCCAAAGTGGAAGAAATGAAAATTCATCAGGCAGTTAAACCTGAATGGTTAACCTGCAGCTCTAAAAATTTGCTCCAGATGTTAAGAATATCTGTCTTTTCATGAAGATGTAATGCAAATACTTTCTCTTCAACTATGTGGTATTTTTTTCAAGTATCCTGAATTCTTTCCATGTACTTTGGCCTGGATGTAAGAGAGTGCATTGTCTTTTTAAATGTAGAAGTTGTAAATCTGAAAAATTACGTTAAGTTTGATACGTTTTCTTCAGTGCAGTAGAAGACTCTGGGGAACTTAATTTCCTTGAAGCTTTTTCACATGTGAAGGAAAATATTCTTTTGAGTAAAGCCAGAAAGGAATTAATGTATAAAATTGACACTTGTTAAATAGATGCTGTTATGCCTGTCAATAAATGCTATTAAATTTATTTTTCTTTGTAGCATTTCATCTAGATAGAAGAAATTCACCACCAAACAGCTTGACGCCATGTCTAAAGATTCGCAATATGTTTGATCCAGTTGTGTAAGTAAAGTCAGTTACCCATCTGTATTTCTGTATTCTTTCCTCTGAGAGGGGTTTGGTAGAAGTGAGTAAACATGAACACCTTAAAAGAAACAAATAGGTTGTTAAAAAAAAATAATTAACTAAATAAATGTTCCTCTTTAACATCTCTGAGAAGTCATAAATAATCTTACTGGAAGTCTTCTGGCCTTCATTGTCTTGCTTTGTATCTTCGTGTCACTTCTTGAAGTGTGTGGCATTTAGTCAAACTGCTCAGAGCAATGTCTGGTCTTTCTCCATTCATTAATTTTGCAAACATTCAATTACATCAGCTGACAGGGGAGGCTCATGTAGCCTAACAGACTGTAAGTTTCTGAAGTATTGTTAAGTATTCTGTAGTATTTAGACTGTCCTAGAGTTTGCACAGTTTGTATTTAAAAGGCTGAATTTAAAGAAGTTACTATCTTATGGTAGTGTGGGTGCCTAGTTTTGAAGCAAATGGATTTTTTGTAATGGGAAGGGTTTAAAAAAGTGCAGAGTATGCTCAGATGTAATTCTAAAGTGTGTGCCATGTATCAATAAGTAACAAACCTTGTTTCACATGCCAAGAGTTAAGAACAATTTTTTTTGTAGCCTTTTAAAGCTTTACCCACTGTCTTGTTAGTATCCCTGCTGGCTGTGGACTAGATCATGTAAGGAGTTGGGGATTAACACATAGGTTATGCCAGGTAATCCTTTCTCATCTTTGAAGCCTGGTTTTTCCAGTGCAAAGAGATGCTGGGATTCCAATAACTCCTCTGAAGTAATTTATTCCGCTCATGTGATTATATAAGGGAAAAATGAAGATGCTGTGCTGTCTTACAGAGTAAAAGTGATATGCTAATTGGCACTGAAGAATCTGAGCAGTTCAGTGGAAAATAAAAGCTATTGATTAGAATAGGGAGTAACAGGAACTAGGAGAGATCACTGGAGTATGGACACAAGTGATTGTGAAGTTCAGATATATTTCTTCAGCTCTTTCACTTCACTTTCCAGCCACACTTAATTATTCTAGTTCCTTGTCTTATTAATTGTAAAGCTGTTAGCTAATTTAGCTGAGGAGAGTGTTTTCTGTAGCATAGAGAAGTAGCCTAAAACCTGTTTTGCTCGGTGGCTTTAAGATGTAATGACCATCATGAGTAGAGACCCCAACTATCGCTTCTTTCATAACTTTCAGGTTCCAGTAGGGTGAGCAAGACTAAAATTTTAGGGATTGTTCTTGAGGCAAAATGATCTTCCTGTAGGAGGGTGAAATAAAAGATGAGAATTTGGGGTGAGATAAAAGTCCTTATTGTCATGTCCTTATTGTCCTTGCTGCAAAGGAGATTTCATGAGGTATATTGGTTAGTCTGAGTAGTACTGAAATAAATGTATTCCTGAAGCTTCACTGTAATATTTATTGGTATGCTGTATTGGTTGCTTTCTTGTTTCAAAATGTCTGCTGTTAATGGAACTAGTAACTGAGATGTAGCCTACCAACCTAACCCGCCTGGATGTAGTCCTGAGTAACATGCTCTAGCTCTAGGCAATCCTGCTTCAGCAGGGGAGTTGGACTAGATGATCTCTATGGTCCCTTCCAACTCTAGAAATTCAGTGAAATTCAGTGAAATTCAGTGAAACAGGAGACAACATCTTTGCTGTAAACTTCAGTATTTTTCAGTACTGATCCACTCTCTGCCCAGCAAGTGCATTTAAAAAAAAATAATAAAAATTTATAGACTAGAGCACTCTTCTGACACCTCTTTTTAGTGTCTGCATCTAGTCAGCTATTTAAACAGTGCAACTTCTAATACACTCACTTTTTTTAGACCTTTTCTTTTGGAAGTTGACCTAACTCCATCACTGGACTGCTGGACTATGGTCCTAGTGGGATACTTCATCCATTCCCATATTGTGTGCCTGAGCCCATTCCTTTTCCATGAGCTGTCTTGCAGAGAGCTGCTGCTTAAGGAAGTACTTTTTATCACATCCTTGGAGTAATCTTCAAAAAAACCCCACCAAAACACTTCCAAAACTCAGTGCAAAACAAGCTATTTTATTCAACCACTTGGGTCAAAAGAGGAAGGAGGTTTATGTTCTTGTCCCAGATCTGGAAGGAATGAATGCCTTCACTGACTTCCTGCAACACAGGATGTACCAGTGATGTGATTAGATTGGCACATAATGTTTTGACATTTGCTATGGGTGCAAGGTATGTTTAACAAAATAAGGTTTTAGATGCTCTTTAAGTTAAGCTATTTTATACTAACAATAAATAGCTAAGTACTTTTCAATAATATCTCAGTAGCTGGTAAAAGCAGCCATCCATAATAGAGGTCTTTTCTCTTGACCTGAGAATCATCTGGGGAATATACCAGTTAATTTGTATTTATCAATGCTAACAGAGTAAATAATCTTCTTTCTACTGCCAAAAGTCATAAAACTTAACTGGACTTTGTGAACCCTCAGACCATAGCAGCAGACCTAAACTTGGGTGTATGTTCTAGGCATTTACTATGTGAGACAAAACCTGTTTTTTAAAATACCAGTCTAGGCATCATTTGGATCATTTGGATCTTTTAATATTTGTGTCTCTACCACTGCGTCAGTAAAAAGAACGGTTCACAAAGCACCGGTAGCGTTTCCTGCAAGACTCACATTGACAGCTACTGGAACATACGTTCCCTTAGTTCCTATACGTTCTGTAAGTTCCTGTGCAACGTGCTGTAGGTAGACCCACTCCGACGGGGGTTGGACTAGAGGATCTCCAGAGGTCCCTTCCAACCCCATATGATTCTATGATACGTGTGCAGGATCAGGGGTGGGCAAGTCATTCCCCTTGGGAGCCTGTTTCATTACAGGAAATACAAGTTATCAAATAACTTGTGATGTTTCACATCCCAGGTCTGGAAAAAAAGCAGACTAGACTGAGAATGCGTTTCTGCTTGATTTGCAAACAGGAAATAAGCACTTGGGAGTCATGCAGTAACTTCAGTGTTTGGGAAAAATACACAGCAGAAAAGACGACTGCATACTCTTAACAATATGATTTTTTTCTTATGGTAGCTGGCTTTCTGCTGGTGACAGCGTGCTTTTCAAGAAAATCTGGACATATGTCCTGGGCTGGGAAGGAATGCACTGAAGTTAAGTTTTCAGAAAATCATAGCCTAGTTCGGGTTGGAGGGGACCTTTAAAGGTCCTGCCTTTTGCAACTCGGAATTACTTTATTTCCCTAACATCCTGAGTACAGCATGTTATTTAGAAAAGACTCTTGTTTACACTGTTAGAGAAGGAGACTTGTATATTCGCTTCATTTTGAGCTATCCAGTAAAAAGAAAACACTCTTTTTTCTTCCAGCCTGAGTAGGATGCATCTTCTAAGTTTTGCAGGGTTTTAAATTGTAGGTGTTTTCCACTGGGAAGTCTTTTCTAGTAGGACCTTCCTTTGGATCTTCTTTGCACCCTGTGTCCCTCTCCCACTTTTGTTTGCTTGTTTATATGTGATTGTGATCTGCCTGCGTAAGGGGCATCATCTGGAAAGTCTGATCCTTTAACCAGTCAAGGTCAAATGACAGAAACTAATCTGACATTCCATGTTGCCAGAGTCCCTCAAGTGTTGTGTTAGTGTCCTGCTCGACAGATTTAAGTAACACTCTAATTAACTTCCATATGTACAGTCCATGCCCTGCTATCTTTTTTTCATTAATAAGGAGGAAGGTAAACCAAATATTTGAGGAATTTTGGCCTTACGTAAAAAAAACCTCTTTAAAACTACCCAAAGCTCTTGATAGTATTATTGAAAGAGTAAGTTCATTGTTTTTTGTGTAAAGACTATTCAGGCAGGCTTAAAGGTGTATTAAGGCTTTTGAAATAGTTTTCCCTCTCCTTAGACTTATTTTATTATGACCAGATAGTTCTTGCAGTACCTTCACAAAATTACATAGACTTCTGTCCTCTCTAATGATGTACCTAAAGATTGATTAGTATTTACAATAAAATATTTCTTCTGAAAAGCCCTCAAAATTGGAATTTGATTTTAATAACTTCTATTTCTGGGTCTAGATTGGCATGTTCTGTCATTACCCTATAGGCTGAATGCAATTTGATGCTTTGTTTGGGATAGTGAATAGCAATGTCAGTGATGAACAGTATCTGAATAGCTAAAAAGCTTCTTCGGCCTGCTGAAGCCCTGCATGTAGTGTTGCTTCTGTGACTGCTGGTAGAGGTGATGCATAAAGGCCTCTGTCCCTTTATGCTGTTGTCTTCTCCTGCTCTTCTTCCACTGCAGTAGGAACAGCCAAGGAGTGGCCTTCTCCTTGGAACAACGGCTAGCCCCTCCGAGCAGGTGTTGGGAGATGAGTTTATGACTGCTTGCAGTTTCAGACAGGAAGGTGATGACAGGTTGCTGGAAGGGGAGGACACACACCCTCAAATACAGATTATTCCTTTTGAGTCTTAAGGTTGAATTTTCTGAAATGGATCATAGGAACCCAGTTTACTGAATATTCAATAGCTAAAGTACTAAATCTGTCCCAAAGGCATTTAACAGAAAATGATGTCAAGTTACAGAGAAACCAAACTCAGTGGGGAGGGATGAGATTGTTGTGAATGTTTTCAAAAATGATGTGCTTAATTAAATCTTTCATTGTTTGCATAGGGAAATAGGTGATCATTGGCATCTAGCAATTCAAGAAGCAATCTTGGAAAAATGCAGTGATAATGATGGAATTGTTCATATTGCTGTTGACAAAAATTCACGTGAGGTGAGTGTCTTTCCAGTAACATCTTAATGCCTTTATCTTTGTTGGACTAAAAAAAAAAAAAAAAAAAAAAAAAAAAAAAAAAAAAAAAAAAAAAAAAAAAAAAAAAAAAAAAAAAAAAAAAAAAAAAAAAAAAAAAAAAAAAAAAATAAAAAAATAAAAAAAACCAAACCTCTCCTTCTTAATGCAGGGTTGTGTATATGTCAAGTGTCTCTCTCCGGAGTACGCTGGAAAGGCCTTCAAGGCATTACACGGCTCTTGGTTTGATGGTAAGGAACAGGGGTTTATAACAAAACATGGGTAGAAATGGCAGAAGATGGGTGCAGTTGGAGTTCTTTTAAGTGGTTGAAATGTTTTGTATCTAAAGTATTGAGCTTTAACAAAAACTGGATCACCTGGTAAGCTAATTTCAGTGTAATGACATGTTTGTGTGTATTATGTCCTGAAGCAAAACGTAATAATGCTGAAGTAGAAGATTTCTCTTTTCCTCTTTCTTTGCCTCATAGGAAAGCTGGTAACGGTAAAATACCTGCGACTAGATCGGTATCATCATCGTTTTCCCCAGGCTCTTACTTGTAACACTCCACTGAAGCCATCAAACAAACACATGAACTCTATGTCACATCTGCGTCTTCGGACAGGCACAACTAATTCTCAGGGAAGTTCCTGAGAAGACTTTGTACAACTGCTAGGACTGTTACTTGCAACAGGAATTTTTCCTGTTTGGCTGCCGTCTTCCTTTTTTAGTGCTTTTTGTATGTAATACTTTAATGAATTAAATAAAAGTTTGAACGTTCCAGAAATCTTGTTTCCAAAGGGACTTAGCAATGAGGCAGTAATACTGAGCTGACAAAAAAGAAGAAAAGAAATTGCTTCAGGAAGTTTTCCGGGCCTGTAGTAAACCAATGCATTTAAGTTTTGCATGAGGAATACCGAATCATTATACATTTGCAGATGTGGTGACTGTATTTTTGCACCAAGAAGTGTTTTTGATAATACAAAAGCATGGAGAAAAGAAGACTTCCTGTACTTCCATAGTTTCCTGTGAAATAATCTTGTGGGTATTTTGTAACAACCAACCTACAGTTCCTGATGGTGAATAAGTTAAAAAAGAAAAAAAATAATTTCTTTTTCAGTCAATATTAGTTTTTTTGTTGCTGTATAAGCATCTTTTTCTGCAGCTAGGGTATGGGGAAGGTTAATCTGGCATTAGTGGTTGCATATAAGCGCGAGGGAAAACGAACTGAATGTGGATGTACTGGATTTTGTATATAAATGTAAATGCTGGTGGTGGCAAAAACAGTTGTGTTCTGTGAGGATGTCTGCATTGAAGCAGTGAATAAGCTTCCTATTTTATTCAAAACCTAATGTTTTATATGGTTTTGGCTGTACCACGACAAGAGGCCAAATACCTTAAAGTGTTAGATACAGGTTAAATATCTTTTATAAGTTTTATATTAAAATACCTGACTCTGATTTTATGTGAAAGGTCTGATACCAATTGTAATGAATTCAAATTTGTGAGCAATAAAGAAGCAATTGGCAGATACTGAAAAAATATTTTGTGAAAAGCTGTATTTATTATTACAATTGCCAGGGCTGTGACAAAATACCATTGGGATTTAGTGACTTTCCCAATACACTGTATCTTGTTTTAATGAAGCAGTTACCTGTTAAAATTTGAAAAGGTACATACTTCCTTGCAACAATTTTGGCTGATGTGAACGAGGAGTAAAACTGACAGTAAACCTTGCCGATTCCAAGCTTTTAAATTTACTAACATTTACCTAGAAGTACAAAATTGTTGCTGAGAAGCTTAGTTGCAAATCTAAGATTATTGGCTTTACTAATCCCCACTCCTACAACAATTTTACCTTATTATCCAGCTAAATATCCTGTCAGAGGTGAGACTGGAAGCATACCAGTCCCACAAACTTTACTGAAACTCACTTTACTTTGTAGATATGATGGATTTGCAGCATGAACTTGCACAAATAATGCACGTTTTTCTTATGGTTAAGTAAACATGATGCACACTATTCTGCAACAGAAAATCCTATTGTGCCTTACCTTTGTGCTTTTGTGGGCACCATGTTTATTATTGGAGAGTTTGTTAACCGAAAAATTTTAAATCCTCAGTTTTATGTCTCAGATGCTAATGAATGAGTATATATAATATATAATCAGCCATGCAGAATTCTACTTACCAAGGACAAGTACATATTTTTGATGGGTAAGTGGATTGTGCCAGGTCTGGTAGATTTTGATGAGTTTTGCTATATACATATATGTATATGTATAATATACATGTATATGTATTATATATATGTATATAAACTAATTTTGTTGTACTTGATGTGCATCATAGTGATTTGTTAACCTGACCTTAGTGACCCCATCTTGTGACCTGTTGCAAGAGTGAATGTAAAAATAGTTGTGGCATTTCAAAAGGTCGCCTTGATGCAAACGCATCTATCTTGCTTCTAAAATATATTTCTTGTAAACACTGTACATTTTATTATTGTAATATGTACTATTAAGCAGCTTATTTTACCTTAAACTGTTAAGTTGACCAATATCCCTTCCTGCAAGACAGATGGGAATATGTATAATACCTGAACATTTGAGAGAAATCAGATGTTTGTTGTAATTTGTCGCCCTGTCCTGTAAAAACAAACAAGAAAAACCAAAACAAACTCGAATTAAAGGTTTATTAGGGGTTTTTATATGTGTCTCACCTTCCAGATATTTGGATGTCTCTCTGACTTGAATACTCTTCTCGTCATGGGGGTAAGGGGGGAGATTAATTCATGGTAGCCACCTAACTTTTAATGTTGGTTGGGGTTTGAAGGTGTGACTGTGAGCTGTGAAATGTACAACTGAGCTTCACTTAGATGGACTTTGCCCGGACTTGGTCCAGAGGGAGCACAGAGGCCTTACCTTCACCTCAGCCTCCAGGGGAGGAGAAGTCCTACCCTTGTGTGTTCAGCTTATTTCTTGTACTTGGAGGTGAAATCCCTGTGAGGACTTTCCCTGATACAGGCTTTTTTTCCCCTTGCCCTTGCGTTTGTGCTCTATGCTCTTTTAAAATTGTTTTAGTGACGATTTGTATTGAAGGGTTGCAGGGCATGCCAGCCCACCGTTTGCATGTATTCACCCAGCTCCCTTCCAGCTCTTCCCGGGGGGAGGAGGGAAAATTTCACTTCAATTCTGTTGTCGTCACGTTTTGGTTTTTGTTTTGGTTTTTTTAAGATCCACGAGGTGGGCATTAACAGCTGCCTTAATTCTGCTGCCGGTGATCAAGTTCGGTGGGTCGCTCGGGCTCTGGCAGCCACCGCCGGGCTGACAGCCCCGGGCCGCGCAGGTGGGCCGGGGCCCCTAGGGAGGGTGAGCCCGGGGCTCTCCCCCGCTGGAAAATCGTTTTAAAAACGCCGAGGAGCCGCTCCCTGTCAATTACAGGGCTGCGGTGGCGGGACGGGACGGGCTCCCGGCCCTCCCTGCCGGTTGCCCGGGCGCAGGCCGCCCGCC